ATACCCTACCGGTACTGGTGCGTGCTATCAGCCCCGTTCAGCCAACGAGGTTGGCCGTTGGTACCTGATATTTCCCACATCTACCAGAGGCATTGGAAACTACTTGGGCAAGAAACTGTTGCCTAATTTTGCTCAGAGGTCTCCTAGAGACATGAGGATCTTTTACGTGCTGTAAATCTACAACACGGGACCCACGGCTTAAAGTCCCTCCCAGAGGACTTGTTCCCTGAATTTTTCCGCCCTTAAAAATTCCACGACCTCTGCCGGGTTTGAACCCGCGTACCATGAGTTACAGTAATCAAATCAAGTACAGAATGGAGCTGTGACAGACCTACAGCAGCCACACTATGTAGTTTGTTGGAAAAAAATAAAAGGAGAAGATGGACTGTGATTTTAAGATTATCATTTCATAACATGGATAGTGAAGGCAAAACTAATTACAATAACATGAAACCAGAACAGCTGATACCATGTGAAATTCCAGCTATGTTTGTCCAAATATAAGGAATTTATAGAAATGTATGAAACCATTCACATGAACGAGGCAATATGTTTGCCAAGAATGCAGTGTGCATAGGTATACCTCAATATTCATGTAAAATATACTTGTATTCCTGAGATGACTATGAACAAGGTCACTTACTGTGACAAATTATGTATGAACACTTTTAATGAATAATGTATTTCTCTTTCCTCTCTTCATAGGTTTAATTATCCTTCTACATCCATGATATATATATACAATGTCTGTCTTGCAGTGCATATATCATGGACGAAAATCAGTGCAACAGGACGCTAAAATACAACATTATGAATAGTAGTCATACTAGAAGCGTATACCAATATATGAATCCTTCTACATATTTTTCTTTTAGAAGACATGAATGCATGGAAAATATAAAGGAGAAATAAAATGCTAAACTTGATGAAATGTTGCCAGTAAAGACGTTACATCGTGAGACTGACTACGAGGCACTGCACTGAAGCTTGTGAACATGGACCAAGGGCAATACATGAAAAGAAAGCTTGTGGTAAGGCAGTTCAAAATGATTTTCTGTCACAAAAATGTTTTTAAGCCATCTGCGTGCTCATTATAAAAAATCAGAACAAAATTCTTCTGTCACTCAAGGTTTTTGAATGACACATGAATTTTGGTTACTTAAGATTTACAACATAGTAGGAAGGTGCAGAGGTCTGCTACTTGCTTCATCTCTGCTTTGTAACATTCTGCATATCACAGCCTGCATGTTCATGTTGACAAGTCCATACTTATTCAATTCTACCACACAACTACACCAGCTATTCTTTCTAAGAGCTCCTAAACAGAATCCTATGAACACATGTATTGCAATATTACTAACTGTAAAAACAGTGGCTTATGTGCTCTTCAATAAGCTCAGTAATCAATAATGAACCACACAATGCAAACCACTGCGTTCTCAAGTAACTGTTCTCTCAAGATTTGCTGATTAGATATTTGCTCTATTTGGTAGTTAAGGATCTGTCTTCTATTCTCTGCTTGTTGCACAAATTTCTCTCATTTAACTTACGAGGAACACAGCTACCAAACTTGTCTGGGAACTCTGAAATGAGGTCATCATTAACTCGGTCTTTTAGGGGTCCAAGGATGATGACAGGCCTTGTGTACTGGATTTGCAATTGCTGTACAGCCTCATATGACAACACAGTTTCTTCTCCACCTGCAAGGATCAACAATATGATCACTCAAAACAAAGTGACTATGCTAGTTTAATTCATGCTATCACACAAAAACTGCTTTCCATAATACAAGTGAAGCATTAATACCNTTTCTTCATAGTCACCGCCGTGAAAGCCTCAAATCTTACATCTTTCCACTTTCATGGCACATTCAAATTTGTACGNCAATATAGTACAGCAGCTGAAGTCATTCATGCAATAATTAAAAACATCTTTCCACTTTCATGGCACATTCAAATTTGTACA